AAATAGAAACTCAGTTACCACTGACTAGTGACTAGGCAGAAACATTGACATGTGGTCCTACTGCCAGGGGAAGAGGCTGGATTATAGCACCTTGCCTTTTCCAGGCCACAAGGGAATGGGTTGGGAATGGGAGAGCCTCTGTGGACCCAAAACCAGCCTTGAAGGCTTGGAGAGGCTCCACAAGCTTCTTCGTGGGTCCCGGTGCAGCCTCGGCAAGATCAGCAAGAAACACACATAATATACTGCATAGCTAATATTTATTATGTATATTATATATATATATTATAAATATGAAATTTAGAATAATGACACCACAAGAATATCATATACTGTACAACATATGATTATTTACATGCCGTATGATATGGTTTGTGCAGTGAAGCTATATAATATATAATAGTATCTCTCAAAATAGTTTAGTGCATGAGATACATATAAAGTAACACATTGGCATGGCATATCTATTTCAAAATGTCTTGTCTTTTGAATACACATTTCAGGGTTGACTTTGATAAACAATTATTACTAGACAAGAAGCACCATTTACTCTGAATTAAGCAACCAATCATATAATGTATGCCATTTGGGATTTGATCACTGTATTGATACGCATCTCATGGAGTACAATACATTCTATATTACCAAAAATACCTTTACTACAATATACCAACATATTTTACATATTTCGTTATTACAGATGTGTTTCTTATCAACGTGACCAAACTAAATCCTAGTATGATATGATATTTTTTGTAGAAGCTATTTTTATGTCTCTGCTATACAGGACATGAGATCAAATTGCCACATTTGCTCACATCCACTGGGGTCATGACCATAAAAGAAAGGTGTTTCTTGGCAAGTGCCTCTGCAAAAGGGCGTGGATAGGTAGCACTCTTCCGCATTCCCGTCGAACCAGTCCTGAGCAAGCATGTTCACAAAATGGCATCTATTGTAATTGTGATTCTGGGAGTGAATATTGATTGTGATAATATTGGCAGGCAATATCTATTTTAGTTCATAGTCGTAAGCCAGATACTCCCAAATTGCATTGAAGAAAACAAAACAACTTCTTCACAACAAGGTACACTTGAACTCGTCCAGATTTCGAAATGGACTTACGAACCATTTGATGCTTCTTGATGGCCTTGTTTTTCTGAATTCGACGGTGGTCACGTTTCGTAAGTCTCCGCTTGAAGTCAGTCAAATAGCTCCTGAGCAGAGTAAGATTGTATCCGATTCCAGCGGTCAGTTTGGAAAACAAGGCTAGTATACAAAAAAATGCTGGCAAACAAAGCTAAGGTTGTTTGTTGTTGCAGGCAAGAAGCACTGTTCCAAAGCACACAGTAGGTTTTTGATTCGCATGTCCCCATGCTCCCAAGGGACTCAGCAGCAGGCAGAGGTGAAACAAGCAAAAATGGACGTGAGACTCAGTCCAACAGAAACAACTCAGAAAACTTTGCACTCTTACATAAGAGGATATAAGAGGTGTATCTTTGAGAACCCCACAATCGGGCGTAGGCCCAGCGAAGAGGTTGAATCACCAAGGCCAGAAATTGGACATAGGGGCAATGGACCATTAGAGATGACCCCGGCTGCTCCACCAGAACCTCACATCCTCTGCAAATGGCCACCAAAGCCAATACAAAGAGGCGGCATGTGATCCTTGGGCAATGAGACCACTGACTCCAAGAAGTCAACAGGTTACACGCAAAAGCATGCACAAAACACTGCATGATATGCTGCATATTAATATATATAATATACAAAAACATATCATATTAGATACGATATATGTTATAAACTATTATATTAGTTTATATTATATTTCGTAATATAACATAATATCATATAATATAGTATAATGTAATATAATATAATATAATATATAATATAATTTAATATAATATATATAATATAATATATATTTTATATTATGTTATATTATATTAAATTATATTATGTTATATTATATTATTATATTATATTATATTATATAATATTATTATATTGTATATATTAGATATTTTTTTAATTTTATATTATATTTATTATATTATATTATATTATATTATATTATATTTATTATATTATATTATATTATATTATATATTATATTATAATATATTATTATATATTATTATATTATAATTATTATATTACATTATATTATATTATATTATATTATATTATATTATATTATATTATATTATATTATATTATATTATATATTGTATAATATTATATTATTACATTATATTATCTACAATATTTAATATCATCACAAAATGGACCCTCTCAAGTTCTGTTCAATGCCCCGTTAATGTATTTCCAAGAAGAATGGATAACTAGTAGAGTATATCATGAGGATTCTGATGCCAATATTTTTTTTTCTCGGTTGATTCTTTGCTTCATGCCCCATATGAAAACAACCTCATGTGCAGAAAGGGATCGAATTTGCATCCCGGACATATTGCCGAAATGAGTTGCCAAATAGCTTTTGTTTGGAGCGACCACTCGTGGATCGATTGACCCAGACCCAGCTCCCACACGGAGGTCCAGCCATAAGCAAAGCCTTTTCCTTCAATTTCAAGACTTTTGTCATGATGGCTCTGAAGCCCAGCCTCAGTCCGACTGAATGAATTAGACTTCAATTTATAAATATAATCTAGATCATTCAGATGCATGATTATCTGAGCTGTATGTACTAGTATGTAGTGTATACTAGTATCTAGTATATTTCTGGATTACAACCCCCTGGAATGACGGTAGATATTATATCGCTTACTATCAAAAGCAGATGAAACTGAGGCAGTCACGGATCCAGTATGTCCCCACTTGAACCTTGAGTCTCCACATCGAAGAAGTCCCTTGGGAGGCCATCAGTGGCTTGTGGATCTGGAAGTCGATTTGGAAGTGCAGATCTCAACATGGGAAGTAGGGGTGTTTGTGGGTAAGAGGCGTATGGAAAAGGAATGAATATAAGTAATAACCATAAGCAAGTTTCCATATTGACTTTTACCAGCAAAAGTTTAAGTTCTAGTATTTGATTCTCCCTCTCTATCATGCCCATGCATGTGACCCAAGGGAGGAATAGATGGATGTTTGACATTTATTGGGTCCTTAGATTAAAGTTCCACCCAGGGCAAATTAGGTTCAATTGGCTTGACATTAAGCATTCCAGGGGATCATAGCTTGGGATTTAACAGTTTCATTAATAGCAATTTTGCTGTGATGTGGGGATTTTGAATCGTTATACCACCAAATTTCAAGCATGTGAATCCTGACGAACTTCACAGCCACCATATGCTTAAACTGGGGGCCCACACGCCTTTGCCTTATGACGACCTTTGCAGACCAGCTGAAAGATAGACGATTCATGTCTAGCACATGGATTGCTATAATACATGTGATTTCAATCCTAGATGTTTGGGTCATGTTGTAATCAAAGTCTTGTAGTTCTTTCAACAGACAAGTCAACTTGTTTGATCAAACAAAAAGTGTTTTTGATGATGATTGTTTATTTGAATTCCATGGATCCATACCATGTATGGGTGTGACGCATATCTGACTCAAACATGTTCTTGCAGTAATGATGAAACGCCAGACCAAATCTAGTAACTAATAGTATACTAGGTAATTAATTAAACCAATTAATTGATGCGTACATTCCATGTCATATAGATGTTTGTCCAACACAAGGCATTGGTCAAGTCAATTTCCATGGCATATCCCTTGTCAGTCAAAGCATGTGTATAGTAGTGTTTGCAAGTCAGCTTCTACAATGATCAGAACACAGAGATGCAGTCAGTTCCACGACCATCATCTTTCTCAAACCATAGCAAGCTGATCATGATGATCAACCAGGTCAGTATTTTAATGGGGTCCCAGAGTCTATCACTTCAAAACCCAGGGTTCCACACGGAATGCTTTGGTTACTTCACCTTGTCCACTAAAGGCATCCAAAACGTCCAAGTCCTGGCGACTGGCCGGGGTGCCATATGTCAGTTGGGCAGGAATGGCAGGCACTAAAAAATGGTATTGGGCAGGACAGATTTTGTAGGTGCAATCATCATCATATACATCTTTGTTTTGACTGTTTAAAGTTGCCAAATCTAACTTGCACATTGCAGTCTTTGAAAGAAACCAAAAGCTTTCTTACTCAGGGAAGATGTTCTCAACAAGTAGATTGAATTATGAATGTGGCTGCGGCTAAGTCAAACACATGATATATGGCAAAATCGCCATAAGGGGTACGCAATCAAACACTTTCAACTTGCATTCTTTAACACAAAAAACTGAATTTAATGTGATTGATATAATTGATTCCAACCCAAACCCCAAACCTAACATTACCATTTTGGGTTTTGAAGGTCTATAATTGTGTATCTAGTCTGGCACGCTACCACTGCCCACTTCACACCTGGACCAGGAGCAATTTTATTTTTTCAAAAGAGAACTGACCAAAACAGAAACTTCATGTTGCTTTCTGAGATCCTGGCACGGAAGCTTTCCTCAACTGGTGTTTGCTGGGCAATGCTGTCACAAAGATGCAACCTGGGAGCAGGAGTGCCAATAGGATTTCAACATAGCTGGCTCTTCCAGATCAGACGTAGTTCTGTAGCAGTTTAACCCCTCAACCGATATATGATGATAATATAAATTTTGTTGGAGGTACAGCATGCAATACATGTGGGAGTACCAACTATTTTGCGTAAGACAACATCAATTTATGCAATTCTATGTGTGATTAGCATCATCAAAGTGTGATGGCCACCTTGCCACAACCATTCCCATTCTACTCAGACAAAAATCATATGCTGAAAAGCAACACCAGTAGTGGAACTCCAAAGCTTAGTAGTAGGTTGGACGTTCGACGACTCAAAGCAAGGGGAGAAGTAGTCCATGGCCTCCCACCCTGACCTGTGTTTCTGGCCATTGGTGTCACTACAGTTCCCAGTTCCTGAGGCACCAAACCTATGTATGACACTGAGCGTTCACTGGCTGCAGGGGGTGACCACATGCATTTTGGAAGGAACCCAGCAAACAGAAAATTGTAGCAATGGTTGTGTTGTGTCTTTGGGATGTACCTATATATATATATATATACCACTTGTGACCAGACAACACAAACACTGCAAACTAGACAGGGTTCTAAGCAAGAGTACATCGAGTTGTTAGTTCTTGTTATAGTATGATCATATCATGTATTACGTGCTTTTTGTTTTACTGTGTGTTCTAGCTTAGCCTGTTAGTTCATGATAGCTAGCACAATTAGAAACTCTGTTGATTGATCTTGAAGGTCAGCCCTGAATGTGGCAAGGTCAAATGCACACCACGTGATTTTTTTGGATCGTCAGGCTTCTTAAGCTCAAGTATTGATGATCGCAGCTTCATGACATAATGTCATCAACATGTCGACTCCCTCAGACAGGCGCACATGCTTTGTACCAGGTCCCATGGCCAGTTGCAATTTCCACTGTGTTATGTCCAATGTAATTCCAGGTGAGCTAGACGCCCAGTCAACATTAGGCCCTGTAATATGTACTTGTTTCATGAACTGAATATTTGGTGTTGAACAATAATTTTTAGGAAAAACATGTTTTTCCTTTGATGGTGATACTGATCATACTTGTGCATTGGTACAGTGCAAGGGAAGTAAAGAAATTTTAGACCAATCCTATCGAATTCCCTTCAAACTGCAACCACTAAGCAAATCCAGCGTTGGACACTGAGGCTATCTATATGCCAATCAGTGGGCTTTGGACACCATGGCCAGGACACCGATGCTGCAGCATTGTGGCACACAGAACCCCCAAATGTGAAGCCAACTGTTTGTTTGCCTTTGCTAGTCTGATCAAAAAATAAATCAATTGGTTACAATAATTTCTAATGCTTCTGTTGTATTCTTTCATAGTACAGACAGCTGAGTAAACATGTGATCTTCAATGCACAATTGGCATTCTAAATTGGCTTCACCCAAAATGTACGAAAAGCCTGGGTGATAATATTGATCCAAAACCCGCACCAAAAAGCCAGGAGCTGCCGATACCTGTTGCCACAAATAGCCACGAACCATATTCATGAGTGATCAGTTGAATTTATATCGATATTATTGTTTTAACCATCAGACTCAGCAACTCTACTAGGGCCAGTGCATTCGCGGGAGTGAGAACTAGATTTTCATGGGTCAGCTGGTGTACCCGGGCTGGAAGGCCAGCCTGCCAGGGCCTTTGCCACATTCCACCTGAAAGGGCCAGGAAACGGGATCTTAAACCAATTAGTTTATAGTAACATTGCTTAAAACCTCTCTGCCACCTTTACTGGTACAATGATTCTTTTGTGTTGTGTTTGCAACTGTGACATGTCAATTTTGTGGAACAACCCTCCTGTATGCATAGTTGAACATATATAATGCAATATAATTACATTGTAAAATATAACTATATATATTATATTATATTATATTATATATATATGATGTACAGAACATACCAAACACATTCTCCCCACAGCTGTGGTCGGTTGGTTTCCTATTTGGTCAATTGATATGGTGATCCATACTGTTGTTCTTTCAGATGATCAAATACTCGTCTCACTTGAAATTATGTTCTTTCCATATCAGATATCAGCTTGAATAGCAGGGCCCATTGTCCCAAAAATTGTATCAGTCACTGCTTGATGTTTGGAGGGGGATAGACTCACCGGGAGATTGATGTTGTTTGTTTGGTTGCATTCTCTCACAAGCAAGATTTCCAACAAAAATGCATGAATAAAGAAGCAGTGAAAACTTGGTTGTAACCCACAACTCTTGGTTCTTGCCACTCCAGTCTAAGGCCATAGCGCTGCATGACAACCACCATTGGTTGACCAGGTCAGTGTTATTCCCTTCTTCAGAGCCTTGATGGCCGGAAAATTCAAAACCAAACAAACATATTTCCCAGTAATAGAGCCCTACTACAACATGAATTAAAACCATACACCCTCAAACATTTCAACACCGAACTTGTTTTTTTGCATCTCACTGAGAGGTATGTCACATACTCTAGATTTTTGAAAACATCGCATCATGGAAGAGCAGCACATGTACAACACATATCTGTGTCGGCTGTGTGTTTGAAGAGTGTTTGCTATCAATGCATATATATATATTATTATATATATATATTGAATTACTTTACCACTAGCGAGTATTGTGCAGCACTGGGCTAAGAAATTATCCAATCAATTTGCAGGCTTCCCGAATGTTTACGGACACTCTGTGAACCCACCAGTCCTTGTATGTTGTGGTATGCTTCTCATTGAACTCCATCACTCTTCCGTCCAGTCCCGGTGTCTTTGCCACTTGGAAGGACGATGATGCACTGCGCGCATTGATCAGCCTCAGAAGATTGAGCAGGTGCAGTGGACTGATGATGGCTTGCTCAGATAGGGTTTGCAAGGGCATTTTAGTTAATGATATATATCGATAGACAAGTCTGCAACACAACTCTTGAAAATCATGCTCCGAGGTCTATATACATGATATAATATGATAGACTTCAGAATAGGTGAACAGATCCAGAGCACATCACTCATCTTGGTCACATGTGAATTTATTTATATATAATTTCATCAGTTCATGACATAGTTTCAGATGGTCCCCAATGTCTTCATACCGAGGCCCTGACAACCTAAGAACCCCGCACTACTCCGATGTTTGAAGCATCTTTCCCTTCTTGCACAGCAGCCTCTGGTTTGCCAATCGTAAATGACCTTGCGAGATGATGGCTCATTCTTGGAAATGCCTTGTGGTTCACACTTTTCTGAACCTACAAATGATAAACGTTTGTTGCACTCAACTGCATTTTCTGAATTAGTAACCTTGCAAGGATTGTTTTGCTTAATTGACATCAGCATGACAACCAAGTCTTTTGGATGTAAGCCCAAACCTTTTACATTGCAGTCCGTGTGACATATTACAGTGGCAAATCTGTTGGAATCAATTCCAAATGTGTTTCTAAGTCGGGTACTTGGCATCATTCAGAGATTCTGGTAGCTTCATGAACTCATCCTTCTCTGCAATGGCAATGAGCTCTTTCCACCGTTTATCCTGGATGCACATCCCTAAGATCCAAGAATGCATATGGTACATTCATTGAATTTGGTTCTTAAACATATGTCAATAAACAAATTGACAAATGGTCAAAAGATGTCAAAGGTCAAGTTTTCGACCCAGGGTTTATAGTATTGACAATGGTTTTGAACGTTTGTGGTCACTGGAAGATAGTCATTGAAATGCTGTTGCAAAAAATCTATAAGATAACATAATACTTTATTTATAATTTCACAATATATTTTTATGATCAATACCTAACACCTATTTATACTATTATCTTAAAACCCCGCAACCATTGGCCAAATATGAAAGGATATATCAGTCAGAGTAGTTACCAGATCAGGTCTAAAAGCTAGGCCCCACCCACAGCAATCTACAATGAGCATGGCTCCTTGATTGCCCTTTCTTTTTCCTTCTGTTCAGCACCTTTGTCTTCACCTGGCTCATCACCTGGTTCAGCATCATTGTTTGCCTTGCTGTCTTTCTTTCTCTTGGTTGGCTCAGTTTCTCTTTCCTTGGACTTACCCTTCTTACTGGGTTTCTTTGGTGAAGTGTTATTTCTCTTCCTGGGTTTCTTGTTCTCTGGCTCTGTACCACCCGATGGAAGCTCCAACACAGTCTCGGGTGGCTGACCCTCAGCCTGAGATGCTCCAGCATCCTCTGCATTCGCTGGCTCAGGCTCAGCACTGGTGCATACCATCCTTTTGGCATGTCGAGGACTGCGAGACATTGCGCGAAGCTTGCCCAGTTTTGATTTTTTTCGTTTTATGTGCACTCGTTTCCTCGGGCTGGGCATCACCTCCATTGAAGTGGGAGAAGGAGCATTGGCATCACCATCAACACAGGCAACATCTGGTTCATTGGAACTGCCATGTTTGTCATGCTCAGCTGATTCATCATGAGCTGATTCCTTTGCCACATGCTCTTCAGTAAGCTCATCATCTGGTGGATTACCACTGTCAGCAGAATCTGCAGTATTCTTGTCACCTTTACCTCGGCCCCTGCCACGACCCTTTCTGCCACCTTTGCCACCACTACGGCCTTTGCCTCGACCCCTTGCCCTACCCCGTCCCCGCCCGGGAGCACAACCCTCTCTCTCTGCATCTTCAAGTTCTCCTTGCAAATCCTTGTCAGGATCCTCTGCCTCCTTTTGCATTTGACGAAGAGCAGCCCGGGCCTCATGAATGGTCAGAGGCACAGTATTGGCGGAATAGATCTCAATGCCCCCATAAAAAACTGGATCAACATTGATGAAAGTACATTTTTTTTTGGCATCAAAATGATGCATGTTATATGTGCAATTTACAAGAATATCCTTGACCTACAACATTTGTGCTTGAAAAATCATACTAGTGTCAGACCATACACTACTTGTTACTACTGAATTCTTTTGGACATCACTAGTGCTTGGATGATATTTTGGCAACGCTGGGGCTATCCAGAGTCCCTCGCTGAACAAAAAACACTGATTATAAAATTTGACAATGTACCAGAGCCCAAACAAAGGATTGATTCAATATGTTTGGTTGGGCCTTCCGGATCTCTGATTCATGCATTGCAAGGTTGGGATCACTCTCAAGGGCTTTCATTTGGGCTTCCGCTTGTTCTGCCAGGGTCTGCGGGATCTCCAAGGGTGTAGTCAAAGGTTTCCGGTCCTGGTGGCAAATTGAAATAAGGTTGCACATACAATAGTCATCAGCTATGTGAAAAAACCATGTGCACAGCTAGGATTTGACGCGGTTTCAAAAACAACCAAACACACAGCATGATAGGCTGTCAAATGACTAGCACGCGTATTTAATATATCAACTTATATTATTATTATTATATTATTTTATTCGTGTGTTATTATAATATATTTATAATTACATATTATATTATATATGGCTAGTCTGATATGTGGACCC